AGTGAGTTCAAGGTCAGCCTGGGCTACCTGAGACCCTATCTCAAAAATAAACAATAAGATGAAATAGTGAGACGTGTGGGAGGAGAAGTGTCTAGACCACAGGAGAAACCTTCACTGAAGAGGCAGGGCTCCAAAGAGCTGGAAGGGGCCACAGATCTCTCTGATATTTCACTCCTGGTAGAGACTATTTCTTAAGGCAATCAGTGTCTTTGTATTACGGTGCCTACAGGAACCCGCTCTTTCAGGGGAACAAGAAGGATACGATCATGCCGTCTTGTGAGGAAGCACGCATCTCCTCTCATGTTCAGGTGAAGAGACAGGAACTTTCAGATAGCAGCTACACCAGACTGGGGAGAGGAAAGTGTATGCCTAGTGGATCATGTGTTGCTCCCTTGCAGAGTCCCATGACCTCCAAAGGGAAATGGTTGGTTCTGTGGAGGACACCATACAAAAGTCAGAATGCTCCAAATCTCTTAGAACGGGGGCCAGTGGGGACTTGGCAGGGTGCCCTGTTTGTTCCATAGATGCCAACATCAGCCGTGCTAGTGGGCTTCTGAGTTTTGTGTTTAAGAACTCCTGCTGAGCATTGGCAAGGAGTTGGGATCACAGAATGTGATGGATTAACATGCAGTGTGTTTTTCTTATCAGAAAATCTATGGGAGGTTGAGCGGTTGAGCATAGCCCATAGGGAGTAATGCAACAGGAAAAACCCTGCTTTGGCAAAGGTGCTTGGTTCGTTGTATCTCCTGTAGGATAGCAAAGGCCTGGGTAACCTAGACACTGCACTGGATGATGAGTAAGCAACATAGAAGAGTCATGGAAACCATGCATGGTGGCCCATGTCTACAACCCCAGAACTCATGAGGCCGCAGCAGGAGGGATCCTATTTTGAGGCCAGCCCGGGCTACCTAGTGACACCCTGTCTCAATCAAGTGAAGCCAAACCAAACCAAATCAGAATTATTGAGGCTGTCTATAAGCACAGAAAAATATTTGGTGAAAAAATAATTATACAACGTGTTTATTGCTACAAATTTGGGTGTCTTTTATCCAAACTGCACAGGACCTAGGAATGTTTCAGATGTCAGAGTGTCTTAGATCATGGGATATTTGTGTAGATTTCACTCAGTTGAGTGTTCCTAAGCTGAAGATCAAAATTGGGAGATGCTCTACACCCCAAAATCACTCAATGGTGTGTCATGCTATCGCTAAAAATAGTTTAAGGTTTTGGAGCATTATTGGTATCAGATTTGTGGATTTGGGATGCTCAATCTGTACTGGAAAACAGTGACTGCATATGGGTATGCAGGAGACAGAGGACATAAATTAGTCTATGCGCTAAGTGCTATAATCACAGCTCTGACTCTGCTTCGCACTGCTAATGTACTTATCAGTAATATTTCAAAGAAGAATCGCCCAAGGCAGGGTCTGATAATCTCTTACCCACTTTAACTCTTAAAAAGTCTGCCCCACCCCCATAGGGGTGTAGGGGTGGGGTTTGTGTATAGGTAGGTGAATGTGTGCATGTGTAGAGACAACTTTGGATGTCTTCACCTTCTACTTTATTTAAGACAGCATCTTCAGACCTTGCAGGGTTTTTTTCTCACTCCACCTCCCTTCTCCTCATAGGAGCACCCGGCTTACAGACATGTGTGCTGTATCTTTGTCTTTATTTGAGTTCTGGGGACTTGAACTCAGGTCCTCAGGCTTGCACACCAAGTGTGTTACCACTGAGCCATCTCCCACTCCAGCATGTTTTAACTTTTTATTCCTACTCTGGATTTGTCTTGGGCCAAGGATACTTAACTCTTTGGGAAACGTGAGTATTCTGCAGAAAGGAAAATTTTCATTGTGTTGAGGGGAAAACAATTAAAATGCCTGATGGAGGTCCGGATCATTTTAAAATGGTAACTAAACTGTAACTACTTTGTCAAGGAGTTGTGCTCTGGAGGAACTACTTCAAAGCATGAGTCCTTCCTGGTCGCTTTTCCCACCCACACAAAACAAACCCAAAACCCAAACCAAACCAAACCCCACACATTAAGAAAACACACCACACTCTCTCTTGTAATAGAGTTGTTGCTGTGGACATCACTATAGAAAACATGTTCATAAGGAGCAGCGCAGCTGTTCCCCGTCATCCACGGAGCTCTATTGCAGGGCTGTGTAGGACTTGAGAGAAGAAAAGAAAGGCATGCACTTGGTCTGATTTCTGCTACTGAACGTGTGTTTTGGGGCAGGTGGTTCTTCTCTGCACCTCAATTATAATCTTCATGTCTCTTGTCTACCTCAGAGGAATACTGCCAGCCTCAGAGGACTATTGTGTATGGATCCCATTATTCTAGATAAACAAAGAGCTTTGCAATAATTTTGTTTACTCTTTACAAAGTTCCTGTATTTTGGGATGAGGTGACACTCATTTGAACTATGATATTCATCTCTTAGCCCCAGTTATGAAGTTACCATTTGAGAAGGTCGCAGCTTAGGAGATTGCAGTTTTAAAAAAATGATGCTTAAGAAGAATAGTTTTGTAGACAACATTTTATTGGCAGTCACATTGATTCTAGCCTTGTCTCAAGTTCAAGCAAAAGTTTCCCTGAGTACAAATTAGCAGTTGGGCATTAACATAGATCATGCTAACCTTTTCCTACCCTCTTTATTTTTTTCTTGCAGTAACTGTATCAAATGTAAGTAGTTTAGAGATCACTGATTCCAAGAAAAGCCAATATGTAAAGGATTTCTGCTTTAAAAAAGGGTCTTATTCTGTAGCTCAGAATGGCTTTGAACTTGAGATATGAGACCCAAGTCTAGCCTGGAACTTGTCATCCTCCTGCCTCTGCCTTCTAAATTGGGATTATAGGCATGTGTCACCATGCCTGGCTGGAATCATAATGGCAACACACTACTTGTGGCTTTCATTTGAAGTGTTTTTAAATCAATTTTTAGAAAACATGTTAGTGTGTTCATAGGGTCTTTGGACGTGGGAGAAAATACTATTTCAGCTACTAAATGCTGCTTAGCTGTGAAAGACCTTGGCACAGTGGGAGGAAAATGTCTCTCCTAATGAGATGGAAAACACAGATGAGGGTGTTTCAGAGACAAAGACCTTTGGTACACATGGCTCCTAGTCCCCTGAGAGGACCAGCACTTGCTGGCAAGAGAGAGTGCTTGGGTTAATCTCTAATTGTTCTCTTGGTGCTTCGCGAGAGAGATGGTTTTTCAAGCAAAGATGTCATGGTTCAGATCAGGAAATTCAAGAGCTAATGATGGGGAGGCTGAGTTGCCTTTGCCCTGCTTGGCTGGGGCTTCTACTATACCTGGCTGTATGCAAGGGATGTTGTCTAACTTGCCATGACAGTGCAGTGTTCTCAGAGACACTTCGGAAGTGGACTTGAAGGCTTCTCAACCAGGCTGTTCCAAACACTGGGAGGATGCTTCTCGAAGTGCTTCCTGGAGCCAGAGGGAAGGTCCTCCTCCTATTGGGGCTCTCCACAAAAACTGTGGCAGGCTCCACCCTCTTGACAGGTGATCTCCTCCCTGAAGCTTGAGAGCACATTGAGTTGTTTTTTTTTTTTTTTTCTTGAAATGCACAGAAGCAGCTGTAAAAAACATGTAATCTTCTCCTTTCGTGGAGATGCCTGGGAGAACCAAATAAAGATAGAGTCATAGGAGAAATTCTAAAAATCCCAGCTCTCAGAAAATGACTCAGCTATCTCCATGACCCAGAGCGAGGGAAGAAGTTGGTAAGACCTTGGGGTCCTTTTCCAAAGGGCTCCAACTGTGCCGTTCCGGTGCTTGGGTTAAGCTGCAGCTCTTAGCTGGGATGGCCAGCCATATTCAAATATTCCCAAATACAAAGGTTCCCACAGTTCCAAGAAACTTCCAGGCCAGGAGGACACAAGCAACTCAGAATCGCCTCTCTGAGTGCAGTTGGGATCAGGTACACTTCCCCCGTGCCCCAGCCAGCCAGGTGATTAGTCTATTCTCAGGATTCCCTACTTGCAAAACCAGCCCTGGCTGGGGCCCTCACATGAGAGCAGTCTATGAACTGTACGGAGCCACTCGCTCATCTGCCCCACACCGGTGTGCTTCACACGTTGGCTTCCAGATTTGAGTCGGGTAACCACGAGCCGCTGCGCCGACTGCAGAAAGATGCTCTGCACCCAAGGGGAGAGGCGCAGCCGGGAAGAATAGAGCCCATTATTACCCTCATTATTTATTTCTCACCCAGCACTGCAGAGCCTGCGAGGAAAAGGAGTCTAATTCCCTTCGCATTTCAATCCTGCAATATTTACTCCAAGCCAGAGCCTCTGACTGTTAATATTCTCTCTGAGGAGCAGAGCTGGCTTTGAGGCCCGGGCCGTGGGGACCCAGAACACAAAGGGCAAAGGGGAGAGAGAGAAGTGGTCAAGGCCTGTGCCTTCCTGGAGAACTGGGCTGTGGTAATTTACATACCTCTCCATTATAACGTGCGCGGCACATGTGCGCGCTACAAAAGGCTCTCGGTAGCCTGGCGCTGTCTGCCTCGTCTGCCTCGCAGTGCCTGCTGGGCCCGTGTCAGCACTGTTAACAGCGACAAAAGAGGAGTTCATCAATAATTCCCCCCACACCTGTATCCAAGGAGAGAGAGAGTCAAAAATCAAGAGCAACTCCCCATACAACTTGAACCTCTGCACAGATCTACCCAGCTCCAGCCTTAGACAACGGGGACCAGAGATCAGCCCCACAGTGGGATCCTGGCTCAGGCTGGGCCTTCCATTCAGCAGGCAGGCAGAAGGGCCAGGAGCCTTCCCCTCCCCCTTCTTTTAAAACAACTTCCTTCTCTTTATCTCTGCTTATACAAGGTGATCCAGTGCTCCCTCTGATTATGATGTCCCCCAAAGGGGAGGGGTCTTATTTTGTATAGTGTTTACACCATGTTTATCTACGACTGTTCTCATTTCTGGTGGTCTCAGGGGCATGCATTTGTACGGCACCAGCAGGGTCTGGAGGCTGACTGGGGAGTGGGTATGGGGACTAAAAATAAGTAGTT